TTAACTTTCTTCCCTGAAAAGGGGGGGGGGGCTTATTAGAGGAAGTGGGCTTATTTGAGAGGGGGGGAGACTTAATAGAGGATTTAAGGTATTATATATAAATTTGCCAGTTATTCTCGATTGATGTTACACAAGACAGTCGCTGTTTTAACATGGATGCCAAACTAAAAATGGCAAAAGAGTTCACACCTATGCAAAGACAAAATAGCATACTAAAAGTTATAGCAAGAATATACAAAAATATTACTCGAGAAATGTCAACTGTTTTTGGAGGAATATCTGCCAAAACACTGCCGACAAACAGGGAATGTCAAAAAGAGGTAAGGGTGTTAACAACTTGGAAATATTTTAAATAATGAATAACAAAACAATAATTATTATTGAATAGGGCAGTGTAAAATGAAGACTGTCGACTGACTGCAGACTACTGTTTTTAGGGTTGGAAAACAATGGGACTATTGTTGTCACATTCTCATTTGCTTGATGAAAACAATGGTCTGCAGTCTGCGTTTTACACTGACCGATTATTGGATTCAGGTTTTGTGTGATATGAAGAATTATGCAGATCTTGGGTGGTGCTACAACTTTTTCAATTTGCATAATATCCTTCTTGTCATGTGAAAGCCAAATTCAATAAAACCATTGTAGATTATACTCCTCTGATTTTATCACTGGAAATTTTGAATCTAGTCCTTTGTTGGTATAAATTCTCCTGGGTTGTATGGATCTAGCTAGCTAGAAAACTTATGTTAGAGTCAACTTAAGCAGCATAGGCAGAAATGGTAAGCAAACCACAAGACATACCTTTCCAAGCAAAGCATCAACATTCTTCACAACTTCTGACCTAAAAATTAATTCACGTAATGAAATCAAATAAAATCCACCATAACCTGTAGAAAACTCTCAGTAAAAAATGTCACAGTCCAAACATAAACTGAGCACATGTAAACCACAGTACATTAATGATTTACTACCATCCCTACAGAAATGATCTAAATATAAACCTTGGAGACCTTAAGATTTGAAACTGATAATAATGTGAAATGTTTAATACCGTGGGAGATAGCAGAAAAATTATTAAAACTACTTACCCGCTGAGTGCTTCATCAAACATCTTGATGCTCTTCTTTGCATAGGAATCTTTGCCACTGGTTATATCAACCCAGCCACGCAGAAGAACACCCTGACGTTATAAATGAAACATTCCTGTTGCAGTTAACTTTTTTATGAGCAAATTTAAATGTTAACCAGGTAAAATCTCCTTGGCTAGGTAGGGCAAAATAACTGGAAAATAGTGTAAAGCTTAGGTGAGGCAAGGTCTGTCTGGTGAATAATTCTAGCACCCAGATGGATATAAAGTCAAACCTCCATGTGTGAGCACCTCTCATAAGCGACCACCTCCCATGAGTGACCACCAATCCAAAACACCAAAATTTTCCCAGTTAAAGCCCTTTAACAAGAACCTAATATGAATAACAACCACCTCTTATACATGTAAGCCACCAGGTCCACTTATTCCCCCAACAGCTTTTTTCCATTCTTTTAATCTCTTTTAAGCAACCATTATTCATTCACGCCGTGGTCTCTTTGTTTGCTGTATGTACATGTAGCACGCCACTCGGACTATTCGAAGAACTTTCAATGACAACATGGAATAATGCATAGTTATCACAGTCATAACTTAGAAATTAGGGTTGGTGTGTGGGGTGGCCAGGGGCTGTGTGCAGGGGTATTGTGAGTTCACAGCTCAGCTTCAAATGTCAAGTCATTTTGCTTTCTGTTTCTCACTTCTGGGCAGTTCTCGCTGATTTGACCCCCCGGCCCGCCCATCTCACTTGGCATGGTAATTATGTGATACAGTACCGCTCACAAGTAAGTTGACAGTCACTCACGTCTCGAGGATCGAAACGCAAGACTCGATTCTCGATTCTCGATTCTCGAAACTTTCGAGGATCAAGTCTCGCGTCTAGAGGATCAAGTCTCGAGTTTCGATGAGCAAGGATCGACTTTTAAATTTCGAGTCGAGAAAGCGCTCCCTCTAAAAGTGTACACTTACCTTTCATTCTTAAAATCACGGCTCCGTGCATAGGGTGAGACTTGTTCACTTTTGCGTAAACGAAGCTCGCGCTTTGAAAGCGAAAATGTTCACTTCTGGTGTCCTGTTAATAGTCCTTTTGAAACCCAAAAAGCTTTCAAAATGTAAACAACAACGAAACAACTCACACTAGAAACAACCGTATTAATATCGCGCGTGCACAGTATACAGCCGTAATTATTCTTTTCGACTTTCCATTGTCCTAGAGTCAGACTAGCGGTAAAAAGAGCCTCTGTTCAAAAGTTCGATTTTAACTTATTGAAAGCTTGCCGAACCCCAACAATTCAAACAGCTACAGAACAACGCACCACAAGCACTGATCGACGGTGCAAATAACTGAACGGCTATGTGACTGTACAAGATCGTTCTTTCGGAAAACCTAGCTTCTTGGATCCTCGATCCTCGATCCTCGCGTCTCGAGAGTCGATCCTCGCATCTCGAAACTCGAAGCGTTCAAGCTTCGAGACACGAGGATTGAGTCTCGAGTTTCGAGCTTCGAGTGTCAACTTACTTTTGAGCGGTACTGTACCTCTCTTAGATACCAATATTTTTTCAGTAAGGTGGTCCCTTGTGGTTGTTACTCACAGGGTTGCCATGGATACCCTATGTGTTCTGTTCAGTTTCTCTGGTGACCCCACCTTCCTTTGTCAGGCACCATTTCCCAAGCTCATCTATTATTGATGGGTTCAGTAAAGCTTTGTATGGAGACACCATCTTGGTGTCCAATCAGATGAGCCGGAAACCAAACGAAATATCTGTCACTGAGTCTTGCTAATTAAGAAAGAGTGAATTTATCGCCCGACAAACTCGTAAAACATTAAAGTGATACTTTTTCTAATATAATGACTGTTCAAAAAGCGAAATCCCCTAAAATAAGTCGCATTTTTAACCTCTATGGCAGCTCTTGTGGCCACAAAGTAAATGCTGTGCTGCACAAAAGAGTATAAATTCAAGCATACCGTATCACAAAATGAAGAACCCTTTTGAAGTAAAAATTTTCTATTAATATCAGTTTTAGCTGCTCTAATGCTTCATAAAAGTAAAAAATCAGTAGGATCGATAATTCTTTAGTTTGAATTTTAATGATGTCATGTAAAAACCAGTAATATGGGAAATGACTGCTTTTGACATTCAGACTAAGAACAAAAATTATGTGCCCTCCTTTCAACGGCAGGGGGGAGGGGGGTAATCTCTACATAAGAACCAGTGAAGTTTTTCTTGTTGTCCCATCAATGATAACTGTGTATCTAGAGGTACATTCTGCTGAATTTTACCTACCTCCTTATTGCCACTGGCCATTTTTATCATCCTGTCAATGTATTCTCTTGCCTTGTCATGGCGTCCAGTGTGCCAGAGAAACATGCCACCAAAATACAACGCCATCTCACCACAAGACTGTCGATCCTGCCTCAGCTTGGTCTCTAGCTCTTGGACAGCTTCTCTGTCGACGAGTTTAGCTTTTTTGTGTGCGTGGATCAGTGCCATGGTGGAGCATAATAACACATCTGGTTTGTCTTTGATCACCTCTAGTTCTCTAATGGCCTCAGATGCTCTGTCTGAAGTAAGTTAATTTCAAATAGTATTAAATATACAATTTAAACAGCACCTGCAGAAGCGAACTGTCATGCAAGCTAAGTGGAAAACAAACCTTCCATCAACACTCCAAAGGCTTTCCAAAATATCAACACCGGATCGTTCCCATATTTCTTCAGACTTTCAAGACAGGCATTCTGTAGATGTCTGTAGTATTTTTCTCGACAATAGTAATTTATGTAAGCCTAGAAAATAAAATACGTTTTCATCGATTGCAGTACTTTTTCTTAAGCGGAATAAACGATATAGCAACGTATATAGCAACGAGAACATTCTTATAACGACAGCTAAATGTAAAAGATTGTTTTGTATTTTCAAGCCTTTCTTTTCTTGTTCGTCAGTTTTACTTACCAACGTTACAGTATCACTTGAAGCCATTTTATATGTCCCCTTAGTTCAGGGTAAATGTTTGAAGAATTGAAACTNTGTTTTGTATTTTCAAGCCTTTCTTTTCTTGTTCGTCAGTTTTACTTACCAACGTTACAGTATCACTTGAAGCCATTTTATATGTCCCCTTAGTTCAGGGTAAATGTTTGAAGAATTGAAACTGTTTCGCGGGATGTTTTTAATTTCGAGTGTTTTTGGCAACCAAATAGTCCGCCATTTTGATTTTTCCTAGTATTTCCCGTGAGCCTTTTCTTTAGATCCATAACTCTTTGCGGGATATAAAATTCAATATGGCGGCTGTAGAAGGCAGTTTGGAGGAAGAAGCTCTGAAACGAAAAGAGCGGCTTAAAGCGATGCGAAAGAAAAGTGGAGTATCAGATGAACAGGTATCTGAGACTATAAACTATCGGGCATTTTTATCTTGAAGATCAATGACAGGAGGAGTTTCTCAGCAACAACATCTTGTTGAAGTGGAGGAGGATCGAGTCTACAGACTTCAGCCTGGGGAATTCGATTCGATCCTGAAAGGGTGTATTAACTTCTCTTTTTCATTGATTGACAGGCTTCCAACGAAATCGATCACTCAAGAGGAGAAAAAAGACCATTGGATGATAGATCAGAACCCGCGTAAGTGATCAGCTTTATATGACAGGCGCGTAGCTTAACAGCGGGAAATACTGCGAGTGCCAAAGGCGCGAGCTTCTAGGAGTTTCTTGGGGCAATTACTCCCACAAAAAATTTTGAAATCTAGATTACTGGAAATGCTACTTTCAGTAGTCTCCACGTGAATATTTCAAACTTGATCAAGTCTAAAATAACTGGTATTTTTTATCATAATAACAATATTTCCGTTTGACTTGGAACATTCGTACATAGTGATACATACTGGCTAAGTACACAAAACGTTTTACAAAACTCGACGTGTGCTGCAAGGTATCTCGGAGCAAAAGCTTAAGCCCCCCAGTTCCTCGGCTCCACTCTGTCCTTTTTTTATATGCATGATAGCCAGTGAGGAAAGCCTACTCTCTTCCATGGTACATCTTATGTAATTGTTTAGCCTTCTCATTCTGCTGATTGAACGCTCGCACTTGCACGATGTCACAGGAAAAGTAGCCGCAATCTTTAGAAGAATGTACAGGTTAATAGGGAAATCATCGGGATCAAATGCTTTCAACAGCTGTTTCAAGGATGCAGCGCATGAATCAGCTGTAATTATCCTAGATTGCATCTTCATCTTCTAACGTTCAAATTTGGCAAAGAAGAGCTGTGGCGAAGGCAGATCATCTTTGTATAGATTTACTAAGTCAGTTAGCTGCTGAGCAGTGATTTGGCTTTTCTAAATTACAGATGGCACTAACCTGAGCAGCTTACTAACCCTCACTGGCTATCATGCATATCAAGTACGATATGCCTATCGATCTGGACAAAGTTGTCAATTTATTTGAAGGCCTCCACCAGAGAGCAAAGTTTGCTTTACGAAGCGGAATAGTCCTGTTGTGAGTTGATAATTAAGTAACCCATGTTGTGGCCCCAGTGTATCCTAGTGACCTATTATTATATGTAGTCAAAAATAATAATCCCACCATTGAAGATATTTCTTTAACAGGCATTTTGTATTTGACAAATGAAGTCTGCAAAGGGGGTTCCCCTTCAAACCCCCCGTCCTACGTGCCTGTATGAGCTAAAGGTTTCCTAGGAGATCGATCAGAGTTATTTAATAAAATTTAAAATATGAACTTTAGCATTTATGAATCTCTTGTGAATAATGGAATAATAAATGTGCTTAGTTATTTAACTGGTCAACTATATTAGGTCAAAGACCAAAGTATCAGATAATTTTAATAAAATTTAAAATATGAACTTTAGCATTTATGAATCTCTTGTGAATAATGGAATAATAAATGTGCTTAGTTATTTAACTGGTCAACTATATTAGGTCAAAGACCAAAGTATCAGATAATTTAATAATGATTAAATAAATAACAGAAACAATTAATAGTATGGTAATCACAAAATACTAAATCATTTTTTGATACATCATAAACATTATTAACTTAAAGGAATAAAGAAAGGCAGGGACCAACTCTAGGGAATTACTGTCATTTTGTCCCCTGGTCATTTAGCCCCAGTTACTTAGCCCCCTGATCTTAAGTCATTTCGCCCCAAAGGATGAAGACAGTTAGCCCAGGGGGCTAAGTAACTGGGGCTAAATGACCAGGGCGCGAAATGACTGGTTACCACTCTAGATGTTCTTCTTGTAGCCATAAATCCATTACACGTATAGGTCTCCTTATTTATAGTTTGTACTTTTTCTAGTCAAGTGTTCTGTGAGGGTTTACAGTTTTTCTGTTATATCTCATGCTTTTTCCATGCATAGGCCTCCCTCAAGACTGATAAAGTTTAGGAATTACATGCCGAAAGATGATTCGTTAAAGGAGAAAAAAATACCGAATACAAAACCCCTTTCAGGTAAACAAGTTAAGTACTGTAACCTGTTGATCAAAGACAATCTATATTAATTAACAGTAAATAAACAAACAAATAAACAATTGTTGTCCATAGAAATTGAGCTGATTTTAGAGTCATTGAACAGGGATTTTGTCCATAGGTTTTTGTAACAAGGTGCTGTACAAGTTGTTGTTTGTAGAATTGGGTGCCCCTGTATAGATTTTTATGATTAGTAGGAAAATGAGAAGCATATATTTTGTGCATGTTGTTAAATTCAATGTCAGGGCACTTAAATAGTCAGTTTTAGGACTTCAGCATGTATTACTAGTCCAAGAGTCACTTTTAAGGCCTGACAAAAGTTAAATTATTGATTAATTGATTAAATCTTTCCTTTAGTTAATTAATAACTTGCTTTAGCACATTGCAATATCCAATAAATGTAATAATTTCACTTCATCAGATTAGCTTGCAAAACAGATCCAGATGAATTTATTAGAAAAATAGATAATTTGTCTTACAGTACTTCTGTAATAATATTTGAATTCTCCCAGAAAACTTCAGTTGCCCATTGGGCAAGTTATTAACAGGATTCACTAGCCCGATTACAAAATCCATCAACCCCGCGCTATCAGACATGACTTTCTTTGCACACTGAATGTGTATTGTTTTACATTTTTAAACACAGTTGATGATGAAGTAAAGGAACACCTTGAAAAGGCCAAAGCTGAGAAAGTCATAGAAGAAGTGGTAAGAAATTTTAAGGAAATATGACAGAATGGCCAATACATTTTGAAAAAAATGCTTATTATTGCCAGAAACACAGACGTCAGACCTTTTTTAATCATAAATTATACTAGTAATGTACAGAGTATGAGATTGATCTCAAATTGCATCCAGTTGTATAAAAATTCAAATTTAGGTTTATTTTGTTTTGAAATCATCATTTACAACTCTGGAGTGTTCTAATCATAGCACAAAACTAAGGAAGGTATTATTCTAAGCAAAGTTTACTCTGAAGAAATTGCACAATTTCCATGTAACAGACCTTTTTTGTTGTAAAATTTGACATTCTGGAAATTCCACATGATTTACTCTTTAAATTAGAATGCTGTCAAATACCCTGCGATGATGGTCACTTTGCATTTAACTTTTATTTAAGTTATGTAGTTGGTTGAGTCCTCTTTAAAATTCAAGGCGTGGTCTCTTCTGTGTTGTCAATCCCCTTGGCCTAAGAGAGAAACTTTGATGAAGCTGAATTCGAAAAGCAGTAAGGTTTGTAAACCTAACAAAGTCAACTCCAGCCACACCTTCACTCAAAGGCCAGGTCACAAAATACACAATTGTTAAACGGGCTATTATATCTAACTTTCTTTCTATTTTCTACAGGATCTGGCCAACTTGGCACCAAGGAAACCTGACTGGTAAATTACCTTAAATTGCCTACATGTAGTGCATATCTTAAACCCAATACCGTGTATTACACCACTTAGTGCATGGGGTAATGAAGCTTTCTAAGTACAGTATACTGGGCATTATGTCAATTATTCAAGTATACAAATAATGTACCAGCAAAGTGACAGCTTGTGTGTTTCTGATAGTCGCATCTGGTAAATCTAGTCATAGCCAAATTAGTAATATAACCCTTACCACACTACTGATCATCATTTCAGTTTTTTCCTCAAGGTTTGATTCTTTGTTTGGCATAATGTGATAGTGTGGCCTTACTGTCTTGTTACCTTGTCTGTAGCAGTCAGAGATCTGGACTTGACTGCAGTTGAGTCTATCAACTGTGGTCATGCTTATATTTGTGTTAAATGATGAACCAATTAAGAGCAAATTAAGCATAATGAATGAACAGTAAAATGAGAAATACTGGGCCATTGTTAACCTCATTGTCTCTATGTGGCCAGTTATACTCAACAAAAGTGACAAGAATGAAGAAATGCCAGATAATATCTAAAAGGTGGTAATATTCTGTTCACTTGTAGGGACTTAAAGCGTGATGTTGCAAAGAAACTGGAAAAATTAGAAAAGAGGACCCAGAAGGCAATAGTTGAACTCATACGTGAGTATCAAAATAAATTATTATACTGTAGGTGTACATGGATATCTGGGAAAATTGATAGACCTTCCTTCCCACATTAGACTTTAGTGGGCATACATAACAAAAGGAAGGCGAGTTTTAGACCTGGTGGACCTTTTTGTACGACTCAGTTTATATTTTCACTCCAAGTCCAAGCCTCGAGTTGGTGCCTTTGTTCATGGAAATGTGGGAATGGTCTATTCTCTTGCAATGGTCTTGGACAAAAAAGTTAAGAATAGGCATTGCCATATCTTGTTTAGCCTGACCACAGATGTTTTCTCTTTTTCTTTCTTTTGTTCCACAAATTTGGCATACATGCCAGCTTGGAGAGAGAGCACAGAGGGTGAGAGCGAGCATGACTTTCCCTACCCCCACATCCTTGTGCAAGTGGTCAATAAATTCCCCAAGGTTTTTTTATGTTCATATGTGCACCTGCTCCACCGTCTCTGAAGAGAAAATAGAGGGTCTGTGAACAGGCTAAATCTAGTTTTCAAATAAAGCTGTCTAAAGCACTGGCATGCAGTTACAAATACTTCCCCCTCCACCCCTCCCCCCCCCCAAAAAAAGAAACAATGTTGAAGGGCAGCTTGATCATTCCTACTCCCGACTAAACAACATTGATCAGGGTGGGTTGAGGGGAGGGGTCATAGCAGTACTAAATCCACGGAATGGGCATCCTTTGGGTGACAATGTGCAAAACTTAACACTTTTTGTCCAAAATTATAGTTTTAACTTATTCATTTGTAAATTTGAATGACTAGTCAGCTACACATGCTTGTAAAGTTTAAGTTAAGCTGTGTAAAGCAGTGTGGTTTTGCTTTACCTTTTGTATAAAAAGTTGTAGATGTGCTCATCGTTATTTTTTATTTACCAGGAGACAGATTACAACAAGGAGAAGATCTTGCTGCAGCAGTAAATGCGGCTGCATCCGAACAAAACTATGAAGCAGAGTGAAGATTGTAACAACTGATAAAACGATACCGAAAACTTCTCTCAAGTTATCATGAGTAATGTTTACGACAGATGAACAAGCTTATAGCCAGGGTGGAGTACGTCACATTGAATGGGATATAGATACAGATATTGATACTTGTAAGCTGGGAGACTCCGTTGACTAAACTGTATTTAATATACCTTGTACAAAATTCGGAATATTGTACAGTAAAACTCGACTTGAGAAACATTATGTCGGAAGGGACTGTATCTCTCACCGTACGTCTGTCATTATGGTGAATGACCTTTGGAAGAGAGTTTTACATTTTGACCTGTATGTTACAGCTTTTTTCTGAGTCTTAGGGCAAATCCGTTTGCAGCAGTGAATCGTTACAAAAATTGCGAACTGCAAATTGACAAAATTCCAATCTTACTGACTCGAGGTTAGCCTTGCTTAGCTACCGAAGAAGCATCGTATCTTCTAATGTGGCCGTAGAGGGAAACAAAACGTGTTTCGAAAGCAAACTTTGCGTCTGAAGCTTTTTCTTCAAGTTAATTAATCACATTTTCGTGCACCCGGGAAGCAAATTTGTATTCACTGTATTCGTTTCCTGCACCGCTTAAAGGGACACTATCAGAGTAATTCTTGTCATGGTAAGTTTTTTTATAAAATGGGCGAGTGTTTTTCCCTTGCGTGAGCGGCAATTAACAAAAAATGCGATAGTTTTAAAGTGAATATGTAAAGAGAAAGGAAAAACAAATATCAGCAATTTGTCCGAGAAAGCATGACACAACTTGAAAAGGATATTCTGATTTTTTTCAAGTTGTAACCCCTTTCCTTGATTATTTCGTCCTTGACGTTTTATGTACCAAGTATCGATTCAGTTCTGACCTCTTTGGCGATGAAGTTATAGCCAATAAACCAGTTTTCCATCAGTTGCTATAAAGTTCCGATATAACGCGCACTCTGATTAGTTGAAAAAGCGTGCTTTTTGAGAGGATAAAACACGGAGCTTAAGCTGCCACGCCATTTGCAGGTTAATGTTTCTTCTGAAAATTAGAAAGTAATGTGTGGGAAATATAACGGATTCTTTATCATAAAACAAATAAAGAAGCCTTGACTGTGTTCTGCTCTGTTAGGAGAAACATTCGACTACGTCTCGTGTTTCCCCCTGCACTTTTTTTCGTACTCTTGTCGCTTACTGCGTGCTTTAGTTACAACAGAATAGAGCACAATGAGGGCTTCTTTATTTGTTAAGCAAACCCATTAAACTCGGGCCTTAAACGACTAGCGTTCTTTTGATTTTAAACAGAGGAGAGAGAAGTCATTACGTCACGTTGGCATGGTAGCAAAATTTCTGGATGACAACAAACCGAAAACATCACTTATAAAGTGATAGCCTGCGTAGCAAGCGTTTCCTCGCGAGTTCGTCGAGAAAGTTGGGACGAGTGCAAAAAAAAAAGGAATGCAACCTTTTTTTTTTATCCCCGCTCTAACTTTCGCGCAATAACTCGACTGGAAACGTTTGCTACGCAGACTAATAAAGTGAATTTGCACTGTTTCAAATTTCGACGATCTTATTGCCTTTCTTTTAATTTGTCAAATGTTGACGAAATCTTCTGGGGTTAAATCCGTAAGGACCACATCTAAGTTTAGAAAAAGAAAAAGGAAATTTTTGCGTTGTGCTCACCCACTTCGTAAAGCGGGTGCGTGAAATTAGAAAGTTTCACGTCGCAGCCGTGCAACGACAGCTAAGAAACATACAAAAATGAGTGGTGCACGTGTAGAGTTGTTGTTTTGCTGATATAAACCTATTGCTTTTTTCCAGTTCCCTTTGCCGTCGCCGGCAGGGCGCGGTGTCGTTGCTTAAGCTCCTTATTGTTTATCCAGAAATTTTGTTACCATGGTAACGTGACGTCAAAAACTTCTCCTCTCTATTGAACACAAACAATACGGAATATAACTGACGTCATAAGCCTTTCTTTGATCCTTTACTCGTTCCCAGTCTCTCGGACATTTCTCAAGAGAAAAAGCAGTTTAAGACGGCCAAAAATCAAGGAGACGCATTTTTAACGTTCAGAATTGTTAATCAAACTTCTCTAAAGGATTAAAATCAGTTTTAAAATTTTCATGTCTTATACACATTAAAGGGAAACCAGTTCGGAGGTTGTATTATTTTTCAAATGCGGCCGTGTATATTGGCCGGCTTGCGGTTGCTTGCAAATCTATTAGCTCAGCCTTCTTAAGACCTTTTTTTGGTTATGAATTAATGTAGGATATATACATCATGTTACCTTCATTCACGAGTGCACCGAGCAGATTATGAACTATACTTTTAAAATGCGTATTAAGCATAATTTCACAAAGAAAATACACAAGAATGCTAAATTTGTTTNTGCACGTGTAGAGTTGTTGTTTTGCTGATATATACCTATTGCTTTTTTCCAGTTCTCTTTGCCGTCGCCGGTGTCGTTGCTTAAACTCCTTATTGTTGATCCAGAAATTTTGTTACCATGGTAACGTTGACGTCAAAAACTTCTCCTCTCCATTGAACACAATCAATACGGAATATAACTGACGTCATAAGCCTTTCTTTGATCCTTTACTCGTTCCCAGTCTCTCGGACATTTCTCAAGAGAAAAAGCAGTTTTAGACGGCCAAAAATCAAGGAGACGCATTTTTAACGTTCAGAATTGTTAATCAAACTTCTCTAAAGGATTAAAATCAGTTTTAAAATTTTCATGTCATATACACATTAAAGGGAAACCAGTTCGGAGGTTGTATTATTTTTCAAATGCGGCGGTGTATATTGGCCGGCTTGCGGTTGCTTGCAAATCTATTAGCTCAGCCTTCTTAAGACCTTTTTTTGGTTATGAATTAATGTAGGATATATACATCATGTTACCTTCATTCACGAGTGCACCGAGCAGATTATGAACTATACTTTTAAAATGCGTATTAAGCATAATTTCACAAAGAAAATACACAAGAATGCTAAATTTGTTTTTCCCACTCCTAACAAAAGTTTTCAAGTTCCACCAACTTTTGTATAAAATGTGACCACTTAAGGAACCTGACACAAGGCAAATCTGATTAACCTTACAAAGCTAGATTATCGTATTTTATAAGATTGTTTCACAAAACAACATTCAATATTATACCGGAAGAGACGAGGGGGGAAGTGTTTTCATTATCGGCAGGTGGCTGCGTATTGGGTTGTTTTCGTAGCTGTACCAAACATATTCAGGCGAACTATAGAAAAGATCTTAATTGCTCCTAGATTCCTCCCAAGACTTTTCAAAGGGGTTAAAAAAACGACACGCTGAATGCGTGTTTTAAAACTTCCAAAAAAATCCCAAACGTGTTCGAGAAGAAATTTTGTTGTTATCGTCAGTCGTATTTTACCAGATTTATTTACAGTTTCAAACAAGGATAAATAATTGGCTAACTCGATGCGCAGAAACGTTGTCTGAGTGTATTTTTAACAGTTTCCCTTACTTCTCCGATCTTCCAACAGTACAAAATTGGATTTAAGGAAGAATTCAAAAACACTAAAGTGACTGTCAATTGTGCAGCATAGTAAACTGATGAATTCATCCCTTTTTGACGCACATAAATTTCTGCAATAAAATGAGGCAGATAACAAATTATCAATGCCACTTGTACCCACCGTGCACTATAAACGCCCTTTCTGTATCGAGCTATGTTCAGTGGAATTGCGTGGGTCGGTTCTTGTGAAGCTTGGCTTGGAACTTGGATTTTGTAATGACGCAGTGTGAGGAAAATCTTGGTGTAAGAAAGAATTAAGGTAACTAGACAGAAACAAGCCATTATGAAAAGATATATGTTACTGACTGGGCAGATAACGGACAAAAGCCATATAACGGCTACTGTTGTAACTGCCTTCTTCTTCGTTACAACTTTTTGGTATTTCAGCCCCAGCAACAACGCGAGAAATCTATCCACGCTTATTGTAGTCAACGTTAACAAAGACGCCAAGCCCAAGATAGAGGCTGTAATGGATACTGCGCAATTGCGTAGTAGCAGGTATTCCAGGTTTCGGTCAACACCGAACTCCAATATGCCACGCACAGGGGCTGTACGATAACCCCAACACAGAGATCAGTTATCGCTAGATTACGATACAACAGTTTGGAGGTCGCTTGAAGTGAAGCTAATTCCTTGCGTAGAGCAACTAGAATTAGGGTGTTCCCCAGCAATGCAATGATGGATAGAAAACTATTCACCACGGGAATGAAGATGAGCTGGTCGTGAACTTCACCAGTGATTTTTACCGAACAGTGCAGTAGTGTGTTTGTTTCATGTGTTTGGTTATCACTTTCGAAAGAATAATTTGTTAGTTCCGCCATCTGTCTGCAATGCAAGTACTTGACAATGAGGTGTACTTGAGCATATTTGGCTTCTTAACTTGATCACCAGTAGGTCAATATCCCATCTTGTTGTACTGTCAGTCAAACTGCAGGTACAGCTGGTATTGCGATTGTTATGATAAAAGTAGCGCTGAGTCGTACTCATAAGTCATGCAGCAAAAAGAGATTTTCTGCTCTTGTAAACAGCAACACACGTTTCAAAGACCTCGATAATTAAACGGTTTGAAACAAAAACTATTTTCTTGCGGGAAACTGCTGATTCCAAATAAATATCTTGCAAAGTTCGATAGCAAATCCAAAATTAAGGATTAACAATTATTATTAAAAAATCATTGGATAATGCAATTGTAGAGCTCTGATTGGCTTAGCCATCATGGTATGGGGCATTATACCATGCTCGCCAAATATGGTAACTGTACGCGTCTGGTCAAAATTAAAAACAAGCTGAAAATCTGTTGTTTTTATAAATAAAGTCAGGAAGAATTCTCGATATTTTGTGGGCGTTTTTATTTAATAAAACAATCATTCCACTGGCGCTTGCTTAGATATGCGATGATTATAACCAACTCAGCACTACGCGCCTCGTTGGTTATCCACCATCTCATATCCAACGCATACTCGAGGAACAATTGTTAAAAAAGAGAACCCTTTTTTTTCGTTGAGTAATTGTTCAGTTTAACACCGATATAACACTGTCACTAAAATCGTTAGCCAGGTCTGAGTCAACTCTCCTAATCATTATTTTCTGTTTCTCCAAAGAAATCGTATTATGTGTTGTTGATTTTTTTCGCTTTCGGTCAAGGGAGAGAAACTAATAACGCCTCCTCACAATTACTTGCCAGAGCGCTAGGTTTAGCATGCACCGCTGTGCACGCAAATGACAAGTGACATCTCACTTATGCTGTATTGACGTAAAGCTACTCACGTCATCGCTTTTGAAATATGCATTTTTGCCAGTTGTCTTATATTTTTCTGGGTTCGGGTGAAATAGTATTTTATTGGCGCTGTCAATAGAATCCAATGACTAAGCACTCTCCTGCCTTATTTCATTCGCTCATCTTCGTTAATCTGATATTTTACATGTGTAAATGTTAAGTGGTTTGCATCACTAGCCACATTCGCATTCCCCATAATACAGGTTGTTTACCCCCAAATTTTTATCTATTTTTATCTGTCGAATCTGAGCCAGCAAGTATCCATCAATGGATCGCTTTCTGGACAGTTTTCGCTTGACTGTGGCGTACCCCAGGGTTCTTGTCTGGGTCTCCTGTTGTTCGTCATTTACAATTCCCCTGTGTCTAAGGTTTATACAGCGTCCCCTCTCGCAAAGTCAATGTTACGTGGACGACACACGAGCTCAGTTTCGGAGCAGATGACGATAACACACAAGATGAGGCGCTACTACAGTAGGTCTTATATCAACCAAATATGTAAAGCCACTTTGTACCATATTCATTATGCGCGTCGAATTCTAAATCTTTGTCTGAGGAATGCCTTCAGACATTAGTTCATGCTAATGCCCTATAAATTAGATTATTGTAACAGTCTACTTCATGGGCTGCCCAAATATCAGATTTGTAAGCTCCGACGAGTCCAGAACACTGCAGCAAGACTTACGATGATGAACACTAGGAAGTGCGCCGTAATGATAATAATAATTAATAATAGTAATTTCCATGTATAGTGCGCAATTTTCCATGAAAATGTTCAAATGCGCATGACAGTAAGTTAAAAAGTAAGATCTAAGGGCCTGTTTACATGGAGGTGGGGGACCCCAGATAGGTAAGGTAATATGCGGGGGGTAACCGCACCTATCATGTAAACGTGATAAAATTAAAATGAGAGATTATGTGGACAGGCGGGTAACCCACCAAAGCTGGTTACCTCACCTACTTGGGGTCCCCCATGCCACCTCCATGTGAACAGGCCCTAAAATTCAAATAGATAATATAGTAGTGGCTTAAATTTACAAATGCACGATAAAATGTTACAAGGATAAAATGTTACATACCAAAATACAAAACAAGATAGAAACTAAGTCATTAAAAATGCTTATCTATAAAATAAGTGAGTTTTAAGGTTAAATTTAAAAACATCAACAGACTTGGCGCATCTGACATCGAATGGCAAAGCATTCCAGAGCTTCAGAGCAGCGCAGGTGAAGGATCTATCAAGTGATGCTTTGGATATGAAACCCAGGATAGCTAAGTAAAAGGTTATCATTTGAGTTCCTAAGATTATGTCTTGATGTACGCCTAAGAGCAATCAGAGATATGATAAATAATACGGGGCTAAACCATGAAGAATTTCAAAATTAATCAAAAGAATTTTAAACTCAATTCTAAATCTAATTGGTAGCCAGTGTAACTCCATCATAAGAGGCGTTTTGTGGCAAAATTTGTGTTCATTAAAAATCAGTCTAGCTCTAGAATTCTGTACACGTTGTAGCTTACTTAGTAAGGAATCAGGCAGGCCATATAATAAGCTGTTGCAGTAGTTAAGACGACTAGATACGCATGCATAAATGAGTGTCTCGGTGGAGGTTTGTGATAGATAATTCCTGATGCGTCGTATGTTGTACAAATAGAAAAATGAAGAAACGCAGATCTTTGTAATATGCTTCGACTTGGACAGCCTAGAGTCAAACCTTGAACCAAGATTCCTTGCAGTGGGAACAGGATAAACATCTGAGTTCCCCACGCGGATACTCATGATTTCAACCTTTTCCAGCTGTTGTGGTGTGCCAATAATGAGAAATTCAGTTTTGTTGTCATTCAATTGAGGATTGTCATTCAACATCCACAATCGAATATCCGATACTCAATTTTCCATGCTTTTTAAGGCTGAAAGCTGGTCTGACGTAAGATTAGGACTAAACGAAATGTAAACCTGCAGATCATCTGCATAACAATGAACATCAGGCAGATGAGTTTTGACAATCTCAAAAAGCTTACTCGTATACGACGTTAACAGAATGGGACCTAGACAGGAACCCTGAGGCACGCCACATTCCAAGCTGAACTCATCAGAGAGTAAGTCATTGATCAATACTTGCTGATCTTCCGGACAAATATGACTTAAACCAAGAGAGAACTTTTCCTGGAATACCAAATGAAAACTGGAGCTGATGCAAGGTATCATAATCAACGGTATCAAAAGCGGCGCTCAAGTCTAGAAGCAGAAGAAAATTAACACGCTGATTGCTCATATTAAGAAGAATGTCGTTGGTGACTCTCAGCAATGCAGTCTCGGTGCTGTGATTTGGACGATATACAAGCACGAGGCAAGTATCCAGAATCAAGAGAAAGGTTAGTGATCGGAGGCAGTAGCACATGAAGGAATTCAATAACAAGTTTGGATGGGATGAGATCAAGAGGACAAGAGTTATTCGTTGAAGATGATATAATTAGGCCATGTACCTCGGATTCGGAGAGAACGTTGAATTCCGAAAAAGTGGAATCAGTAACGGTACCATTGGCATCTCTGATATAAGGAGAATAGACCTAGTTTGCGATTTCCAACCTAATAGCATTTATTTTGTTGGTAAAAAACTCGCCAAAATTGTTAGCTAGCTGATGATCATCGGAGGATAAAGGTAGGCCAGCAAGTTTTGATATATTCAAAGTGATTTGCTTGCATTGAATAATCGCTTTTGGTTCACCCTGTACCTCACCATGAAGTTCTCTATGAGCTTCATTGGTTACCAGTGTTTTATCGTGTCGTTTTATCGTATCTCTTATCTTTATCGTGTTTTATCGTATCTACAATCTCGTTCACAAAGGCTGCGATCCTTTTGGTCAGCATCAAGGACTAACCCGTTCCACTGGCTAAGGGTAACTCAGACTCTGAGGACGAGATTGTTACTTTTAAGGCCATGCCTGACATGTCAGTTAGCTAACCTAGCCACATTGGCGATTTATGTAGTTAGCACAAGAGAGAATGATCTAAGCTTAGCTCATTCTCTCTTGGTTAGCATTAAATCCTGTTCTGCATATTCATTAAGATCGAATTACAAAATTGTTTAAGAACGTCTTAAGGGGCGCATTGAGGCAACTTTAGGCGATAGCAGACGCCCATAGGCTCCTGGTGATAGATAGTTTTCCGCTGCCGCCCCTAAACTGTGAACATGCCTTCACANAAAGTGATTTGCTTGCATTGAATAATCGCTTTTGGTTCACCCTGTACCTCACCATGAAGTTCTCTATGAGCTTCATTGGTTGCCAGTGTTTTATCGTGTCGTTTTATCGTATCTCTTATCTTTATCGTGTTTTATCGTATCTACAATCTCGTTCACAAAGGCTGCGATCCTTTTGGTCAGCATCAAGGACTAACCCGTTCCACTGGCTAAGGGTAACTCAGACTCTGAGGACGAGATTGTTACTTTTAAGGCCATGCCTGACATGTCAGTTAGCTAACCTAGCCACATTGGCGATTTATGTAGTTAGCACAAGAAAGAATGATCTAAGCTTAGCTCATTCTCTCTTGGTTAGCATTAAATCCTGTTCTGCATATTCATTAAGATCGAATTACACAATTGTTTAAGAACGTCTTAAGGGGCGCATTGAGGCAACTTTAGGCGATAGTAGACGCCCATAGGCTCCTGGTGATAGATAGTTTTCCGCCGCCGCCCCTAAACTGTGAACATGCCTTCACACGCATCAAGAATCGAATCACTGGGCGCTTTTAAAAGACATGTGTAGACACACCTTTTTAGATTAGCTTTTACGTAGTTTTAAACATATTTTATTGTAATATTTATTTTATTTATGTATTTGTATTAGCATTTTTCCTTTTTATCGATTTTATCTAACATAGATACATTTTATAAATTTTAAAGAGTATATAGAGAATGCAGAGTGCTTTCGATCATTTATATGTTAAAAGGCTCTATAGCAAATTAAAAAATCATTATATATTATTTTTAATTAATATTATTATCATATATTACTATTATTAATTTTGCATAAGTATTGTTATGAATTTCTCGTAGGACGACTTCAATACCAGAGGAAATTTTGGCCCTTTCTAAATGTGAAGATGATCCCAAGAAAAGGATTGTTACGTCACGAGTGTTAATATATAGGCACTCAAGAGCATATGGCAAGAGAGCACAAAGCAAAGGAGACCCAGCCCTGTATATATGCAAGCCTTTTTCCTAAGGCAGTTCTTCCTTAGTTATTTTTAGTGACAAAACGCCAAATTTTTTTTTTGTAGTTCGCCCGCCCCCCACCCCATAAGTTTTCTAATGGTCCGTCCCTTAGAAGAAGGAAATAAGTAGGAGCGAGGTCTGGAATGCACTTAGAGGGACATTTTATGGAGTTAGGACCGGGATTTTGTTCACCAAAGCCGCTCGGCCAACCAGCTCCGATACGAATGTTGGATGTATGTGAACAACTTGTTCCAGTTCTGTGCAGTTGCTGTTCATAGGTCTTCAATTGTGGAGGGGTGCAGATGTTTATGTATAGTCCAGTGGTGGATCCACTCTGGGGCGGGGAACCTAAATATTTCAATAAAAGTTCAAGCAAGCGAAATGTAAACTTAGTCATTTGTTATGTTGTTTTGGCTTCCGAGCAGTTTAACTTATTTTGCGAGATGATTATTTGACCATGTAGAACTAAACAAGGAGACTCCTTAATGGGGAGGGTAGTCATATAGTCTACTACGCAGCCGTCCTTTGTAACACTAGTCTCCGACACAAACATTCCGCAAATATGTTGTCCCGCCACTCTTCCCCATAAAGACGAGCCAAAGAACGGCTGCATGAGAGACTACAAGTAAATAGGACAGTCTCAGATTTCTTTCAAGTTGAATTTTTTTTCGCTAAACGTCATGCCGTATTCCCCATTAAATCCAATCCAGCTAAGTCCTGGATGAAGGTTGCCTTCCTCGTTTTCCTTACTCTAGCTTTTCCTCGGCATCTAAATTTGGGCTGGCCACTCACTGGCTTGATGACCAGGCCATTAGACAACGTTTTCTTAGAATGCTTGTCAACGCCTCTTCTTAAGCCCGTCTTTTTTTTCCCTACTTGTTTAGTTAAAGATCATTACCTTAAATTTTCTCATAACTATCATGGTGAGATTGTCCGCCTGAGAGAGACCCTTCCTACTGAGTCGATTAAGGCAGCTAGAAATTAGCCTAGTTAAGGTGATTCCATAGTAAAAGAACGTAACATAGATTTTAGCTAAAACTTGGTACACTGATGTAAGAAGTCAAGAAGATGATAAAAAAGTAATAAAAAGTGGGGGTCACCGTGCTCGTTTTGACGTCACAATGCTGACAAATACGGCTATTTAGGACCCTTTTACAAAAACCGCGGGCAGCGCAAAACTAGACAAAAAGGAGAGATTTTTTCGATGATGCATGTGACATCACACAGAATTTGACTTTTATGTATTGTTTATCCACTTACGTACCAGAAAAATGCCCTTTAATGCC